ATGATGCATTAGGGTTATTTTTTTATGTTAATCGAAGCATGTGTAAACAAGCACAATCACTACATCTCCAAGGGGATAACTTAACGGCAACACTCTAGCCTCACACATGAATGATTGGGGTTCAAACCCCTCCTGAGCTATCTTTACGTTATGTTTGAGAACACAGAATCAGGCCCTTAGATTTAAAATTAGAGGAAATTCAGTTCAAACTTTAAACTAATTTTCTTCTAATTTCAAATTCAAATTACTGATTCGATAGTCCCAAATGCAAGATTGCATTTAAAAAAAAAAAAATCCGGCCTAGTGCATTTAAATCCAAAAGATTACATGTACTCGATGGTAGATAATAAATTGAATGTACTACATACTAAATTATGAAGTGCATTAAGAAATCAATCACATCGTCATGGGCTTTTTCCAAAAAGAAACATACACAATTGATACCATTTCTGAGATATATGTACATGTGATGTCTCCATGTTCACAAACTACACAAAAATCAATACAATGCCTACTTTCAAGAGGAGGGGTTTGTACCATTGTGCTGTATATATTCATAACTATACAGTAATGAACCTTACGAACTGAAATTCAAACATAAGGACATTGAGACAAAGCCATTCTTAGGATCTTTATCATTTTTGGTCTTTCCAAATTTTCAAGAATGAGAAGGATACAGAAGTAGTTATGAAATTTTGTCTTTTGGAATATTTTTATTATAAATATTAATGGACGCAAGATTTAAAGAACACAAAAACTTTTTTATTAGGTTACTAAAAAAACGGTTGTGTTTAGAAACTATTCTAGAAACAATTCCCAAGATGCTCCATGAAACACGTTTTTTGGGTCAACATCGACTTCTTCTTCAAGAAGAATAATAGTGCTAAAGAATTGGTAGTTCTATAAAATTGAGACAAACTACTTTACCCAAAATAAAAAAGAAAGAAAAAAATAAGACTTGCGCAATGTGAAAAGGAAAGGTCTGATAGGGTACTATTAAGTGTCCTCTCAGTTCTCAAAGACACTAAATTTGAAAGGAAGGAAATATTATTTTTTAAAACACATACAACACAATTATTTTTAAAATGTAACTCTTATTTTTTTAGAGAATGCGACACACATTTACTACATTTAAATATGTGTAATCGCAATGGTTTTGCGTTCTTAAGTAAGGACTCTTTTAGGATCTTGAATTTTTACCACAACGATTTTGCAAATCACCAACCATTCATCATCTTTAGAACAGTCAATATAGAAAAATATTTGTGAAAATATATAGTCCCATAATTTAGTTGAATGGGACAAAAGTCCCACGATCTCATTTCCAGAAATATACATAGGTATGTGTTAGGAATTATGTCTCAAATTCTCATTATTATTAGTTTCTATTTTAAAAGGTATTTTTTATGGTAATTTCTTATAGAGATCGTGAATTGGGCTCTAAGAAATTATAATCCTTATTCACAAAAGAATTGGGTATATGATCTATAAATAGACACTTAAACTATTGTTGAGAGTTATGAGTTGAAAGAGATGTAACCTCGTGAGGGAGTACGTTGATGGTAGGGGTGAGTTACGGGTTTGGTAGAGTGAACATTGATGGCGAGAGGGAGTCTCGTGGAGTACACGGAGAACTCGATCAAGAGTTTGTGTACATGATCCGGTGTTAAAATTCTTTACTATTGTAATATCTCTACATATATAATGAATCTCTTCTTATTCTTGGATGTAACCCTAATTTTGGGTAAACCACATATATATATCTTGTGTTATGGTTTGAATTGTTATTATTATTTTTTTTTTTCTTTTGCTTTCGCTTTGCCCCAACAGTATGATGAACTAGTGTGCCATTTGTCCTATGATTAAGCTTGCAAGGACGGCCACATGCTAATATTTTGCAACTATACTATGCTCATATGCCAAATACACTGGACTCAAATTTAAAAAAGCTCGAGCAATGGCTCCTTTTTTTGATGCGTGCATACTCTTGGAGTAACATGACAAATCCCTGCAAAAACTGATACCAAATACTGTTGCATTCCATACAACCTTATTTTTTTGTCATCCATATTTTCTCATAAAACAAGCATTAATTTGCTTAAATTGCCCACATCTGAAGGGCTTATATATATTTATACATACATACATATGGGTCAAGTGCTGAAACCACCCTTATAGTATGCTTACCGTGAGTATCACACCCTTCATGTGCTGAAAACATCCCTAAAGTTTTAATTTTATGCAAATAGGTCACTCTGGCACATTTAAGTTATAGTTTGACTAAATTGTTCTTATATTCACATTTTACATATTATTTAAAAATGAATCATTTTATGAATGACAAATGCACTGTAAGCATATTATATGGTGTTTCGATCTACACTTAATAAAGTATTGTTGTTTTAAATCTTTTGATCTTAACAATTAGGTTAATTAAAAACTTAGTTTTATCGCGATTTGAATAGTATGACAATGGTAGGTGATCATTGAACACTCATTTTTTAATTAATATTTACTGAAATTGATAACTATATTAAAATTTAATTGGGAATATGTTTTTTCTTTTTAATAATTATAAAAGGAATTGAAGTTTTCATATCATATGATAAATTATACATTAATTTGACAATTGTGACAACAATTTTGTTTGTAAGAGAGATAATACATTGTTAGCAGAAATATATAAAGATAAAGTTTTTCAAAAAAGGTGAGAGAAAATCCTTAAAAGTGGGTTAAATATAATTAATGTACACATAACAACCATATACTATGAAATTATTAGCATACACATCCCCTTAGGAATTTTTGAAAGATTAAAAAGGCAAAACGAGTATTACAGCATTACTTTTATGTCAAATTTCTGATTGAGGGGTGTTTTTGCACAATTTTAAAACTAGCACACTTTTTTAAGTAGTGAGTGAAAATGCTACGCAAAATATACATTAGAGGTATTTTCTACACTTGACCCATATATATATATATGTATATATATATATATATATATATATATATATATGTGTGTGTATGTATGTATGCGCCTCAATAGCATGGACTGAGGGAGCAGTTGCCTTCTTGAGCGGGCACCATGATTTTCTTTTTTTTATTTTTACGCGTTTTTTTTTATTTTTTTATTTTTTATTTTTTTTTTATCTTTAAAATTTTTTCCTCTTGCACTCATCTATGATGTATATGCATTATACTTTTTTTTACTCTTATTCTTCTTTATCTTTTCTTCTGCTTTAAATTTATTGCTGCAATTTTATGAACTTATGTTTCTAAATTTTTCAATATAGAAAATTTTGCAAATAATAACATGTTATTTGACACTAGGCTAATGCGTTATTACTCATTCTTCCGCTTCTAGTTTTCAGTATTACTGCATTGCTATTGTCATGTTAACCATAAGGGATTGGCTTAGTGGTAAAATTATATGGATTTCGGTGCTTACTAGCACTAAGGTCTGGGGTTTAATTTTCATTAAAATTAAACTTACGATAACTTGGGGTTAGGCTTCCGTTGTCATACTCAGTGAATTACTCGGCCCAGGGTGGAGAGGCCGCCCTTCTTGGGTCTTCGGGAATTAATTGGAGCGAAGTCTCGGATACTCCGGGTCATTAAGAGAAAATAAATAAATAAATAAAATAAAAATAAAAATAAAATAATTACTATTGTCATGTTACTCCAAGAAAATATATACATTTTTTCTCTTGAAATAAATTCTTGACTCGATAAGTCACTTATTTGCCTTGCATAATCATGTTCATGTGTCTGTTGACTCATTGATATATATTTACTTCTTCGCTCCTCTTCGTGAGGACCTAAGTTGTGAGAGCGAGAGCGAAAGTGAAAGCGAAAACGAGAGCGCAAAAGCGTCAAAATCTAAAAAAATTTAAAGCAAGCACGTCTTGAGAGCGTCTGTATATTAAGTTTAAATAAAATTATAGTTTAAATAAAATTATACTAGGTCATGACATATATATTTTTTATTTATTTATTTATTTAAATTCATATGCAAATATATTCATATACTTTTTAAATGTATTCGTAATTTTAAAATAAGAATTTTTATTTTGAACACATTTCAAATGCTGAAAGTTGAAGGACAATACACTTTTAACAAGTCTTAGAACATTAAAGTGTAACTTTTCCCCACATAATTTTACAGGTATTGAGATAGATACCATGACTAATATATTTGAGATATATACCACAACTAATATATAGTTCAAATTTATCTAATATACAATATAACTCTCAAATCTCAATTTGTTAAGTCATTATCTTTTAGAAATAAATGTTTGAAACAATATATTTTACAAAAAAAAAAAAAAAAAAAAAAAAAAAAAAAAAAAAAATATTTGAATTTATCCATAGATATATATATTATATAGAGACGCATTAGAGTTACTCACGGTGCTGAAGGTGAGAGCTAGGCCAATCAATGGAGAGGGTAAACACTTTCAATTGGTCGGAGGAATGGAAGATCTACGGCAGAAAGTGACATACTATATAGGACCACCACCTGCACGGACCAAAGGGAGCCCTCATATGAATTCAAAGATCACAAAACATTCTGTTTTGGCATGGCATTTGTGTCAATTACCAAAATATACATCTATTTCTTTTGGCAATGTAAGTAAGTTTTATTAAATTCAGAAACCGTACAAACAACTCATATTAATATACGTATCAATATAGTTGGTCCACCAGTCGTTATATTTATAACCCAATAAAAAAATTTAAATACACCAACTTGATAGAAAGTAAGCACATGGTAAATAAAAATACAATACCACATAACACTATTTAATAGGACATGAAGATCACGCCCAAAACCATCAAGTGACGGTCCAACAAATAGCCTGGACAACAACATAGCCAATGTGTACTCACTTTTATGCTTATTAGGCCCCATTTTTATATATCAACTTTATTCCATTTTGCTGAACAACTATAAGAAGGTCACATACCTAGACTAGTGTCTCTAGCCCCCACATTTTTACTAACAAAATAAAAATCTTTTACTATGCAAGAAACTTTCATTAAAGAGTGTACCACTTCTACCACCACCACTTCCGCCACCACGGCCACCACCATCTCCGCTTCCCCCTCATGCTCTTCTCCGACAAAGAGTACCACCAAAATTGTGACAAAAAAGGGCACCAAGCGGGTCTTAGAAGAGAAAAATGACAATGACAATAACAAGAAGGCTAAGAATGGTGGTGGTGGTGGTGGTGGTGGTGGCGGTGATGAGAAGCACCCGGTTTATCACGGTGTACGAATGCGGAGTTGGGGCAAATGGGTATCCGAAATCCGGGAGCCGAGGAAGAAGTCAAGAATATGGCTTGGGACTTTCGACACACCTGAAATGGCAGCTCGAGCCCACGATGTGGCTGCCATAGCAATCAAAGGCCACTTGGCTTATCTCAACTTCCCGGAGCTGGCTCATGAACTGCCCCGTCCAGCATCCAAGTTTCCGAAAGACATTCAAGCCGCGGCAGCCAAAGCAGCCGCCCTAGCTCCACCGAGAAGCCATGAAGCCGAAGCTGATCAGCTGATGGCTCCAATCTCCCCGGATTCTACTGCAACTTCACATGACACTATTGAGTCATCAACTTCACCTCCAAATTTCATCAGTGATCCGTTTTTCGATTTGCCTGATCTCTTCTTCGACGTTAATTATCAATTTGAGGAGTTCTGCAGCGCAGCCTTGCCGTGGCAGCTGGCTGGAGCCGAGTCTGTTGATAGTGAATGTTGGCCTGAACAACCTTCTTTATGGGATTAATGTTCTTTGCTTCTCAAGTTCAAAATTTGCAAGATGGTTGCCAATGTTGGTGCTTCTCCGAATTCAAGCAAAGCCCAAATCAAGAAGCTCAAGTTTGAATCGTTTGATAACATTACACCCTTTTGGTTTGCCAAATTAATACTTGAAGACTCAAAAGGTTCTTGAACTCACATCCCTTTTTTCTTTGTGAACATAAAATAAGTTGGAAAAAAAAAAAAAAAAAAAATTATATCATCCTCTTGATTTGGTGTGAAATTAACTTGAACTACATAGTTTTTCTCAATGTATTCTAGATTTACCACTTTCTGGATTTAGAAATTCAAATAATATATTAATGGAATTCCAAGACATTGCATGCGAAATCATGTAGGAATTTATGGCAGTTTACCTTAATTTATATTTATAAATAATGTCATTATCCAATTCTAAGACCAAAATATATATATATATAGTAGAAAAGTTTAAATAGCTAGCATTAATTTATTTTACTTTTAAGTTGTGGAATTTATGGCAGTTCACTTTATTTGATTTTGGAATGCAAATCTGATCTTCCATGTAAATTAAGAAGCATGAGAGTGGAATATCTTTTGCCTAGATCACTGATTAAAAGAAGGAAGACTCAGTCATGGATATAGCTATTATTTTAACGAAGTACTAGCTTACAAAATATGTATTCTGCATATATATATATATATATATATATATATATAGGGGACAACAAAAGTAGGGGTCATTTCTAATCCAACACCCACTTTTTCTTTCTGCAGAAAAAGTGCAGATTTCACATTTCAGTAAGAAGAACATGTATGTAGGTTCCTAGCGTAAGGATTAAGTTAGAAGACTCTATCAATATTACTCAGCCACGAGTCTTTTAATAAAAGTAAAAAGAATTCTTACTTTTCATTTTATAAGACCATTAAATTCTATGAATAAATACAATTATAGTAGATATTTAGATGATGGTTAATTGGTTGCTACGTACCAGGGATGGTGTGAAATCCTGTTAAATTAACCAATCTTTGTTTTGTTTCAATTTTTCTTCTCTGTGTAATCTAGTGCTACTTTCTTACCCTCTAAAATTAAAGACCGACCAAGTTCAAAAAAATTATGCTCACCCATGTCATTACGTCTCTAATCTTTGAAACCATATGAGTAATAACTTAAGTACACATTTAATTTGCATTAATCATCTATTTCATATAATGAAAATGATGTAGAGCAAATTACATATAATTTTGGAGTCCGTTTGGACCTTCAAAGAGCGAGCTTATATAATTTTTTGAGATAATTTTAATGAATTCTTTTTTACTTGAAAAAATCTTAGTTTGGACATAAACTACTTAACTCGCAAAATCATACCAATTGACGTAGCGAAAAATTGTGAATCGTTTACAATGAATTAGAGTTATTTTAAAACCACAAAGTTGAAAAATGTTACAGAGATATCTCATATCGTATTAATAATTAAACGAATAATTTGTTCTACCAATAGACTCCCTACTTTTCAAAGAGAAGTCAAGGGTTCGAGCTGCCGTATAAACATGTGTGAACTAAGAAAAAAAAAAAATCTATTATGCATGTAACGCATGTAACGTATGTGTGTGTATTTATAAGTTAGGTCTTTTCTGATCAAATTATAGCCTTTTTAAGGTCAAAATGTCAAAATTATCTATAAAAAAAACAGTATCAATCAACCGGTTTGATGTTTTAACGGTCCATACGACTCCAAAATCATCACTAATCTATTCTACATCCGAAAAATATACAGAGAGATATGCTACATATAAGTAATATCTTCATTGTGGGTTTAATTTGCATTAATTAACCGTCTTTTGATATGACGAATGATATATATAGAGATGTGCCCCGTTGTACAAACAGAAACCACTAAAATTTATACTTGGCGACATCCGTACATTAATGTCTCTCCATCACCATTTCTTTTCACTGTCCATTTGTGTATCCGTCACCTGCAACCTGTCTAATCGATCGGAAACGTTTCTTTTTCCATTGTTTTATATCTGGTGCATGTGTTATCAAAAAAAATGAATGGCGCCTATAGTCCTGCATATTTTGCATGTATAATCACATTTAATGACCAATCTATGTTTGGTTAGATGTCAATTGTTCATGGACCATATGATGATAACAAGAGAGAAGTAAGCTGCTTTATGATTAGAATATGGCCCTTATATATATATATATATCAACAATAACACTGAGTTTTGTAGGTAGTATATGTTTAGGGTTTGTAGTCCTTGTATCATGATGTTAATATATATATATATATATATATCAACATTGACACTGAGTTGTGTAGGTAGTATATGTTTAGGGTTTGTAGTCCTTGTATCATGATGTTATTGCATAAAAGATAGATGGGACATGGTAAAAATGGACATGGCCAATGTGTATACACATACAGATCTCAATTTTGGTAAGTTTAATACAAGCACAAGAAATACAATGAAGTTATATATTTTCACAATTTGAAGAACTGCAAGCTGCAAAAATTAATATGACCAAAATATTTGAAAATAAAAAGGTCCACAACATTTACTTGGAATATATGATGCATCAGAATTCTCTCCTTTTCTCACCCATCGCATGTCCATTGCGTGCACAATTAAATCAACGGTGTAGGACACCTCATCACAATACTGTGAGTTATGATTAACCCTATAAATGACCAACATGAAGTAATTAGGTCAACTTGCTTTACTTTTTGTGATTGATTTACTCACATATATGATCGATCAGACATTCATAACCACAAAACTAAATATTAAAAAGTAAAGCAAAGTTAGAGAGATGACACTAAGATTTTAGCAAGCAAATTAATTAAAAAATCTCAAGAATTTTTGCGATGTCCCAAGATTAAACAATCCACTATGTATGAAGCAAAGTATATCGAACTTTGACTCAAGCTCACACTCCTTCACTCTATCAAGACTCAATCCGTTGAACGCCCCTAACTTTGCAACTTCCCATCCAATAGCTCTCGATTTCAGACTTATGCCTTGAATTTTGTAGAAGGATTGCTGGTAGATTAACAACACCATGCAAGTACCTTGATCTCTTCAAAGTGTGATTTGAAAATCTTCTTCTTCAAATTTGAATTTCATGTGAAGGTAGATAAATCCTGCTTCTCGGAATTACTGAATCTTCAATTAGGCTCCAATTCTAATGAGATAGAGAACAACACTCCTAAATCATGTTAGTGTTTATGTGTGTGCTCTCAAAACAAAATCAGAAAAATCAAGTTTGATTTTCTGAAAAATATCTCTCAAAGGCTCTCTCAAAATAATAATTTTTTGTTTCAAAAAGCCGTACCTAATTTTGAGTAAAAGAGAGATTATATAGATGCTTGGAAGACCTAAAAATAATTAGAAACCAAGTCAATTCCGTTCATGTTCAATATAGCAAAAGTTATCCAAAGTAGAAAGCCAAAACATACCATGAAAAGAAGTTTTCATATTGGTCTGCAGGACTTGAACCAATTCGGGAGTCTCTTGAACCAGTTCAAGAAGGGCAGAAGTAAAAATAATTTCAACTTTACCAATTGAACCGGTTTAGGAATGACTTGAACCGATTCAAGTTGTCCAGACTTGAACATTGAAAATTTCAGCAAACGTTGAACATGTTTAAAGAAAATTTTGAACCAGTTCAAGTTAGACATAATGTAAAAACTTTCAAAAACCTAATTTTGAACCTCCTAAGTGTCCTCACACAATCTCTTACTTTCTTAAAGTATTGTTCTCATCATCCTGGAGTGTATCGGAGAATGAACACTTGAACTTTTTCACTTCCGCTTCCGATTTTGAATCTTGAAATTCTGAACTGAAATTTTACAACTCAATGGACTTGTTTTGATAACAAAATTAATCAAAATACAAATTTACATTTCACATACAACACACTTGTACAATAATGATGTAACACACATGCAATATATAATATGCAACGTTCTTCAACAAACTACATCGCGTTGTAATGCTACAACACCATTTAAATTAAAATTTCAATTGTACTTTTAATTACTTAATTGTTGTACCATCAATTTAAAATTGTTACATTAACAATTTAAAATTGTTGCAGTATCAATTTAAATGTATTACACGTCAAATACCAAAGGAAAAAAAAAATAAAAAAAGATAATTTGAAAGTAAAACTAACACCCCATTGAGACTTGTTAATTTATATGTTCTTTTTAACTTTATGTTGCCGTATTATTTAGGCTTATGGGTATGATGACATGGACGAGTCCTAGGGGCTAGAACAAAGTTGGAAAAAGGATTGACCCAATTAAAGAGTGGGATACATATAAGAGGAAACTTCAATCATGAGATCATCTTGTCTTTACATTGAGTTGCAAACAGGTGGATGGATGCAAAAGCTTTTCAGATATAATGATTGATATGTTTGTATGCTTTTGATGCATTCTCCCTCTTTGAGTTTTCTAGTTTCTTATGAGTGAAAGAAAAAGAAAATTCTTTCATCATTCATCAAGGCATTCTAAGCAAAGTGAAGTCCAGTAAGGGTGTGAATGGAAATATTCTCAACCCTTTTACTTTCTTTTTTTTCATTTATTTATTTATTTATTTATTCATTTTCTCAATCTTCCATACCATAACCCAAAAAAAAAAAAAAAACCGGAGCATCATTCATCGATCACTAAAGGACTTGAGCACTTTCTAAGAGGAAACTTCAATAAGATCATCTTTGTTTTTCATTTTACTTTTTGTTTGTATGTTTAGTTTGTAATTATGAAAACAGTTTTATGTTATCGGAAAACTGAAAGTAAAATGAAAAACAAAGATGTTTTTTTTTCTTTTCTTGTTTTTTTTCCTTCATCTTCTCAATCTTCCATACCATAACAAAAAAAATGAGCATCATTCATCACTAAAGGACTTGAGCACTTTCTAAGGTATAAAAACTAGAATTTGCTTGGTTTGTGATTATGGAAACAGTCTTCTGTTATCGAAAAATTAAAAATAAAAAATTGTACAAAAAAAACTCTGCTTGGTTCAATTTTCTGAAAACTCAGTTATAAAAATGTATGTTTTTCAGATAACAGTCTTTTATAACTCTCTGAAAACTGTTCTTTATTTTCTGAGTTTCTGAGGACAAGGATCTTCTCCAAAAAAAGAGAGGTCCTGCACACCCACCAACCACTGGATTGGATCCTCTCATTAGTAATTATGTTATATCAATAGTTGATAGGTGTGCAGGTCCTCTTCTTTTCTGGAGAGGATTCTTATCATTCTGAGAACTGTTTTTTTAGTTACAAACCAAACATGTCTTCAATTTTTATAATTTAATGTCTCACTTGAGTTCGAATCCTCAACCCCTCTTTTAAAGATTTAGAAAACATATA